CACCAACGAGGGGGATTGTGTATTATTACAAACTAATTACATTTCTGTATAGAGTGAGAAAAAAAACAGAAAGTAATAATAGAGGAGACATTCATGACCCATTTGGAATAATCAAGTTAGGATCAAGAACGTTCAAGGTACAATGTACCATATCTGCATTGATCAAAAGGTTGTGGCTGTTAAGTTATCAAGTTATAATTATTGTATTGTGAATTGTGTTTCATTCTTTTGTTAGCAGTAACTGATGTGATTTTAAGCTGTGAAGTCAGAAATGCCAAAATTTGACTTCTCATATGTAATTGTTTATTTCTAAGGACGTTATCCACATTTTATATGTACATGGTCCTAAAATGAACACTACTATAAAACAGTGTTTCGGGGGAAAAAAAAAGACCAGTTTTCTAAGAATGTAATAGAACTACATGTTCTTCAAAGGAAGAAGGAGAAGGTCTCATTTAGCATCTCAGCTTCCCAAGGTATGGGCACTCTGAAATGCAAGATCTACTCAGTAATTTTTAACCTTGTTTGCTGCCGTTCAGTTAACCGAGAAATGTAGCAAACTTTTTAAATTTAAGAAGGTAATCGAAGAGTCCTGTTTGCTGGGATATAACGCCATGTAGTCTGTTGAAAGTCAACTGACATTTTGGAGGAACATGTCACTTCCATCTTCAGGATGGAGAATAAGCCAAGCAAGAAACCAGCATGAAAATAGTTAGCAAACAGGTGGCTACATGCTTCGTGCTGGTTTCTTGCATGACTTATTCTTCAATCTTGAAAATGGAGGTGACATTTCTACCAAAATGTTGTTTGACTTTCAATGGACTACACAGCATTATACAGAAGATACGACTCATCATAACCAACTCTGTGAAAACTTCAAATCCTCTAAAGAAGATAGTCAGTTGTAATTTTCATTTGTATAATATGATTTAAAATTAATTAATTTTAATGCTTCTAATTAAATAACACATGTCAGTAAAATTCTACAGTGCCATTCTTTGAAAACTACATGCATATTGTGCCCCCCTGACATTATTTGAGCTTGATTTGTAGTGTATTAAGAGCAGATTGCTTAGGAAGTGAGTCAGATTTTGTACATGGCATTGGACTTCAGTGTCAAAATTACTACAAGGCTTTCTTTGCTTGTGTTCAGTTAAAGTATGTTTGTCATTCACTTGAGCAACTGTAACTACAGAGTTCCTGAGAGTGGAAGTGAAGGGGCTTTCTAAAGAGATGAGGTTGAGGAATTTTTTTTTTTTTAGAAAAGCATTAAAGATCCCGCAGACCTGATGCGTAATACAAAGAGAGATCTTTTGTGACACTTGATGGTTATAAGTTATCAACACAGTAAGTGTACTGATTAATTCAAGGACTGCTTAATATAATAAAGAATGCTAAATTGTTGTGCCTGAATGGTTGGGCTTAGGAGTGTATAAATACACACTACAGAAGAATGAATTTATATTTGCAGTTAATTTTTGTGATGAATCATGTAGTGATAAGTGAGCCATGTGTGACATAACCATAGACTGAAAGGGAAGTAAACTGCAGTTATGAATTTTCCTTTGATAATGGTGCTTTGTTGTTGGATTAATAGGCATTTGGAAGCTTGACATATGTTCTTGGTGGATTGTTGGGGTTTTTGATGACTTAATTTAAGCAGTTTGGGTAATGAAACATTTACTTGATGTAAGATGAAGGGGATCTTCATTTGGCTGTGGCTTGCCTTGGTACAAGAATATTGTTCCCTGACTGAAGTTGTATTTTTCTAAGCGTGAAGTCTGTTGAAAAAAGTTACGTGTTTTGAGAGCAAGTGTTGATTATGTACATGAGTTATTAAAAGAACACAAAAGAACATGAAGCACGAATTGCAGATAACACTGTGATAGTTTGTGATGAACGATTCTAATCTGCAGTTTATTTGTATAAAGAAAAACGCTCGTGTAAACTATGATTGTTAAGAAGCATTTCAACAATTATGCTGTTTCGTTAGGGATTGAATCATGTTTTTAGTTTTGTTAATGTGTCTTTCCTAAAGAATCATTTTTGTTATGATTAAGTTATCTCAAATGGAGTACATGCTGTCTTACCTTAAATTCGTTTTTGTATATTCTGTTGATGTGTTAGGTTAGCTTGGGATCTAGAACCTGCACCAAATGTGCATTTGAGAAGTCGTGCTGTTTGTTTGTAGTCTGCTTCTCTCAACAGTGAACTGCTAGGCATTTTGTTGTTTTGCAGCTGTGGTATAATTTTCATTTTGATCTGTATAGTGTGCCATTCCAATATTGCTCTTTCAAGTATTTGAATCTAATTATCAGTCTTACTGAAACAGATGCAGCTAAATTTTGATTTATTTTAGTTATGCAACTTTGGTTGGTGAGTGCATTATAGTGCTGTGAAATAGACCACATACAAGTGATGAAATAAACATTTTCTGCTGTGCAAACATCTGAGTTTATGTAATTGTTGCCATATTTTCTGTGCAAGAAATGCATCTTCTGTCTTGTTAACCAGTGCCCATGCCTCAGCCATATGCATAATACTAAGTGTTCCATTTAATTAGCTGTGACAAAAGTTCCTTATGCTGTTGAAACCTAGGCAATCTTTGGCCAGCTGTTAGCACAAGATCAATCAGCAAGTTTTGCTTTTATTCAAAACCTAAGAGTTTACCTCATAGTCTAGCAGATTTTACATAACAATTCAAACATAAAAAGATAATTATTCACAGGAAAATTTGCTTCATTTGATCAAATATTCAAAGTACTTCGTACTTGGACACACTGTTTTGGGAAAATACACCAAAGCAATTTGTGAGCACCATAATATAATTTGGATGGTCACTAATTTCAAATTTGATTTGTTTCATTCTGGTCCGTCACACTAACAGTATTACAAATGATAAAACAATTCCGTCCAGTGTGACTGTTGAAGCTTTTACTACTTCACTTCTTAGCACCCTAACATGTTTTGGTCCCTATAGACCATCATCGGAGGGAACATCAATACTTTTAGAAACTGCTATTACATTGTGTGTTTTGATTTTTAAATTTGTAATAGACACTTTAAACAAAATCCAAATTTCTTACAACTACAGGAACTGTCCTTGATTAATTAAAGTTTTTTAAAAACTTTTTGTTATTTAAGTTAAAATTGTTTAACTGAATAAGTTCATGTCCCTTGTCCTTTTGTTTTTCTTGACGGGGCCAAACTTGTACCGCCTGTCTTTCTTGGGAAGGTAGTTCTTGTTGTCCTATGTTTGTTCATAGCATGCCCCATCAAGTGAAATGAAAGGACTAGGGACACGAACCTATCTGGTTAAAGAATTTTATCTTAAATAACAACAAGTTTTTAAAAAAACTTTAATGCATCAAGGACAGTTGCTGTAGTTGTAAGAAATTTGGATTTTGTATAAAGTGTATATTACAAATATTGTATATTTATCTATTTTAAAAATCAAAACACCCAATGTAATAGTAGTTTCTAAAAGTATTGATGTTCCCTCCGATGATGGTCTATAAGGACCGAAACATGTTAGGGTGCTAAGAAGTGAAGTAGTATAAGCTTCAACAGTCACACTGGACGGAATTATTTTATCATTTGTAATTTCAAATTGTTCAAACATATTTTTGAAGATAATTTCTTGTTCATGCATCATATGAAACCAGTCCATTTGGATGGCTTGATCATTAGTTAATAGTTTGTATGTACTAGCAGTACTTGCTGAATGCCAGTGTCTTCAGTTGTGCCTTTATTGTCTTCCCAGACAGACCTTACATGTTCCTGTTTAGAGATAATAAATTCTATCCATAACCTATCTGAAATGCACTAGTATGGATCTGCTTTTTTGAAAGTCTAAGTCAGTTGCAAATTCCTATGCTTGTATCCTTTATTATTATTATTATTATTATTATTATTATTATTATTATTATTATTATTATTATTATTAATGTTAATGTTACATTTTGTGATAAATATTTGCTTCTGTTCTTGTACACTTTTACAATTATAGAAGTTATGTGTTTGCCATTCTGCAAGGCTTTATTTTTATGCTCTTCAAACAAAACATGCATATCATAGCTGTAAAAAAATATTGACAAATAAAATTCTGTAAAAAGTTGTTTGATATGAAATAGTCATATGTTGTACTCAGCTTAGGGATAAAAATGAAAGCATAGAAAATATACAGTTGTTTTAACACTTCATCACTCTTCTCTTAATAGTCGCAGTATGAAGGTATTTCATATTATTATGACACATGGATGTCATATTACCGTTTTCCAATTGTCCTAAACTTTGACAGTCATTCCGTTGTTGTAGTTGCAAGATTTCAGCATGCCCTGATATGAACCTGCTCCTTTTTATCTCTTTTACACACTGTAGAATTTGTATATTACCACGGTGGTTCATGTTTGACCTGACAACTTTGGAACTCGTCCTTGCTTTTAAAAAGTAAAGATGTTTTGGAACTCATCTTTGATCACTTACAAAAGACAATGGTGCTTGTTAAAGGTACTTTCAACTTTGCTGACACAGACATTCACTTGTAAGATTTCATGAATAGAAGTGTGAATAAGCTGCTCAGTTTTGTCAGTGTTCATATGATTGATGTCTTTATGACCGTGAAGGACTACCTTTGAATGTGGCACATCATATGGTCATGGAGGACTGCCTTTGAATGTAGCACATAACTCATTTTCAGCAGTGCATTGCCCATGAACTGTACTATAAACCATTGGTGACAGTCGTTTAATTTTTGAGCTTTCCAACAAAAATTTGATTAGATACCTGCTCCTCCTCTTCTTTAACTTCTGTTGACACCATCCTGTGGTAAATGACAAGTACACTTAATGTATGGGGGAGGAACATACAAAATGACTGTGAAAGTAACACCGGTCTCCGCCACTGATGAGCAACGTTGAAAATTCCAGGTCAAATTTGAACCTTCTATGCACATTAAGGAGTGGGAGTCATTGTTTATTTTGGGATTTTGTGTCCTACAGGATGTAATGGTTGTGGATGGGCGGTATGGACCTTCATGTGCAGTAGCAGCTGCACGACATCGTGGGACAGAAGTTCAGATAAGTAATCACAGTAGTAGGTCTTCCACACCATTCCAGTTTCCCTTCCCACCATTCAGCAGTAGCTATGGTGGTGTAGGAGTTGGGAGTGAGGGTGGCGGTGGGGAGGGCTCTAGTAGGCAGAACTGCTCAATACTAAGTCTTCTGCAGCAACAAGGCTTGATAGCGTCTCCCTTGTCAGAGGATGGTGGTAGGTCTTCTGTTGGTCCCATGAGTGGTGGCATGTTTCGTTGCAGTATCTGCTTAGCTGCATTTCCATCAGCATGGCTCTTGGAACAACATACAAGTCTGCAACATGCTTCACAGCCAGGTTCTGCAGATGGAGAGGGCGTGGAGGAAAAACCCTTTAAATGTGATCAGTGTGGGCAGAGTTACCGCTACCGTTCAGCATTCCTGAAACATCGTGAACAGAATCATCGTGCAAGACTTCCTGCTGACAAGCTGTTCACCTGTGATGTATGTGGCATGCAGTTCAGATACCTTAAGTCTTTCAAGAAACATCGTCTTAATCATGCACTTGAAAAACTGCACTCAAAATCACCTCCTGATCTAGATTCATTCGCCAAAGCAATGAGAAACAATGGAGGGCCATTTACTGACAGATCAATTTTTCGAAGCAGCACAAATGTCCCAGAATCTTCAACAGATTACAGTAATAAGATGTTCTTGATGATGCAGGGAGGAAGCCGACTGAATGGTGATGCAACATTCTGCTCATCACCATTGTCAGGTGCCAGGGAAAGTGGCCGGGTGACTGCTCCTCCTACAGCAATGCTCCCATCAACAGAGAATGGCAGTGACCAGGTATCCAGTTCAAATGAGGCTGTCGTAAGCAATGTGACAGATATGAGCACGTGTGTTGCATCTACATTTGAACGAGCAGCAAGTGTGCCTGTATCCAAAATGGAGCAGCAAAACTTCTACAAATTTTCTTTGGATGATTATTATTATGGGAGTAGCAGTAATGTTGCTGAAGGAACTAACATTCTTACAAGAAGAGGTGCTAAGTCAGATCGGATGCTGGATGGAGAACAGGACGAGACAATAGATTCCCTTGCATTTGCACTTACAATGGCTTCAGGTGGTGGTGGTGATGCTTTCAGGTCTGCACAGGAAGCGTCACTTCTTAATTTGTTGCGCCTAGATGCTGCAGAGAGACAGCGTGAACGTCGCTTTGCATGCCCGTTTTGTGGTAAGTGTGTGAGATCTAAAGAAAACTTGAAGCTTCATGTGCGTAAGCACACTGGAGAACGTCCATTTGTTTGCTTGTTTTGTGGCCGAGCATTTGGAGGGAAGAGCGATCTGACTCGACATCTACGCATCCATACAGGTGAACGTCCCTATCACTGTGAAATGTGTGGCAAATGCTTTGCCCGAGCAGATTATCTGTCCAAACACCTCACCACACACATCCATAGCTCCCAGCGGTGAATATGTCACCTTCATGCTTCCAATATTTGAATGGAACTTTCATCTTAGCAATAATACCATGTATTTGTTTCGTACCTCTGTGTGTTTGTTGTCAGAGACAAATTTGAACACCTGCAATTTCATGTATATATGAAGAGTTACTTCAGGGTTGAGCAGCTGCATGACATTTGTATAAAATATTTGAAAGCAGCATCCAGAGGTGAATTATGTTTCTCCAAGCATACTTTTGTTACCCAGTTATGGATGTTTTCTTTGCTGCATACTGTTCACATGTCAGAAATATACATATAATGTAATCAATAGCCAAGTTTTCAGATTTGTTGTGAAGGGATATAACATGTGGCATTTAACTGCTGATGCAGTTGAATCTTCAGCAACTTCACACAGAAAAAAAAAACATGTACATGAATGAAAGATGGAAATAATATTTGTGCAGTCAAATGTAATTTGTATGCAGCCAACAAGCACTGAACTTATATTTTTCTGTGTAACTAAGAAGAAAGTCTGAGGTTATGCTCCTCAATACAATACTTCCTTGCGTGTGCTCACAATCAAGTGAGGGTTTACAAGTATACAGTAATATATTTTATGTTAATGCTATTTTGTAGATACAGTGTTTAGTATAATTATAAATGAGAGTTGAAAATAAATATTATTACTCAAGATAAATGGACAACATAATAATAACATTAGTAGTAGTAATAATAATAATAATAATACTGTATTATGTAAAAAACTAATACCTACTGCCAAAAGAATTAACTTGGGTTTGTAAGAGACTGCCTTTGCCATGAACAGTACTGTGAGGCATTGTAACACTGAAACTACAGGCATCTGTATCTTTCAGCGGTGAACTGTTAGTGCCATTGTTTAGGACATGGGTTTGTGAAGTGAATAACTCTAGAAGCAATACCGATGGAAGATTTGAGGGAGTTTGTCACTCCTTGCCTCCCAATCCTTATAAGACATAACTGAACTTGTTAATTGTCAGTGATGGGAAAAGGTGTTTATTTTTAATGTATTGCCACAAAACTGCATAATTGTGTATGTTGTATAGCATATTTCTTGTATAATAGTGTTACGATTTTTAGTGAAGTGCAATACTACTATAGTTCTAAATAACATACACTATTGTATAAGAACATTCGCTTAACAAAAATAATAATCATGCTAGCATTGTACTAACACAGGTTATTAACACCAGCATTGCTATTGAGTTCTGTGATTAGTCAGAATAAACGTAACGCTTTTTTCATAAAGGATTGTGTGGAGAGGCACAGTCAGTCCAATAATACAGGCTGCTGAGGGCAGTATATGATAGAGAATTTGTAATACACTGTTTACAATCACATAGTGTAACATAATAATTACTTTTATTATGGAAGCTGTCATTTCACCAACTTATCATTGTAATTACAATTCCACTGCCATACTAAGGAGATCTAAAATTCTGTTGTTGGTCAGTTAGGTTAGTCATATTTTAAGGCCACATTGAATAGGTCTGAATTTGAAGCAATCCTGAGGAAGTGGAACATATTTTCTGCATCTATTCACTGTAGTCTTGGACCTGTGTTTGACTGTTGCAAAGATTTATCTCATTGCTGATTAACTGCACACAAAGTATACAGGTGAAGGGAGATTAGAATTTAGGCTACTGAAGAGATGGCAAGAAATCATAACTGACAATACTGTGATGAATATAAATTTTCCATTTGTAGCACAGAAGATGGCAATGTGAGTTCTATTTCCTCATACAAGCGGTCATTGCATATTCAGATTGTGGCTTACAGCACAATTCTTGTAGATGGGTACCAACATTTTGGAGGAACTTGCAGTCTCCATCTTCAGGGTTGAAGCTAGTAGGGTTATATGTGGCCAGTCACATGAGAAGAATGATGAGGATTGACATGAGAGTGCATGTTGGTGGTGGGTAGTCAGAACTGCAGGAAGGGGAGAAGAGATCCCTGTTCTGGCACATAGGATTAGTGATCTGGAAAATATGAGGAGAAAACAGGTATTTGCATGACACCTATAGACTGGAAAGGTTCACCATTCCCACTTGTTCCTTTGTTGATTCATGTAACCAGACCACATATAACAAGAGTTAACTGTGACACAAAATGGAGGCAATCTACCTACAAGACAGCATCATGTCAGAACCCAGAAAATCACAAGCTGAATATCAGTGACTGAAAACCTCAGATCTTACAGTTACTACTTATGTTCCTATCCTGCTAAGGTGAATGGAGTGAACACTGAATTTTTCAATATTATAGACACATTTCTAATTGTACAGTTGTTGTCGGTCATGTTTTGTGGTATACTTTAGTCTTACATTTTTTTATAAACTTGAGAAGTATTACAAGTTTCATTGCAGTAAATGAGAATAATATGAAATATAGAAACAAATGATAAATTTAACCAAAGCTGAAAACATGGAATTATTTGTAAGAATGTCTGTTGCTGCCAGTTTAAATCAGGCAGCTGTGTGTGTGTGTTTTTTTATATATATTTTAAGAAGAAGAGTTCTTGAATATTTTCAACTTTCGATCATGTTCAGTTTATTGTATGATTTGCTGTGGCAGGCATTGGATTGGTGAACAGTGCATGTTAAATTTTAATTGATCATTGGGAGACCTAGGCATAGATGAGAAGGTACAATCTGCTGGTCTAGTGACAGGCTCATATGAATACAGTAATGAAACTTCAGGTTCCATAAAGGAAATTTTTTGACTAGCTGACAATGTTTAGCTTCTCAGAAAAGACTGTAACCAAGTTAATTTTGATGATTATCCAGAATGTTGCTGTTTCATGTCTCATGATTGGCATTGATATGCTGAATGAAGTTTTTGTATTTTCTCATAGGCAAATTTCAGTATAGTGTCTCAAATTAGGCCATGACTTATTTGTTCACAATTTGATATTCACTTATCCTGTCATTTTGTGCTGTGTAGTCTTTGCTATTAACAGCGTTATCAAGGCAGCCACAAGTAGACAAGTGAAGACTTTTCTCTTTCGGCTCACAGATGGCTCTGTTAACTCTTATTATTAACATCTCTGTCATCCTTTAATTTGTCTCGACTTTTATCCCCCAGTTTATGATGTCCCACTTAAAGAATATTCTAACTCTTATCTGTATGTCACTATTTTATTATAAAATTCTTTTCCAGTGGTCTCCCTGTCTAATTTTTATTGGGGTTTATGTGTGTTTGCTGCTGCTATTTTATTGCTTTACACACTGCTATTCATATCTTGCAATGTAAATTGTGTTAGAGAGACAGATTAAATGACATTACTTTCTTGCATATACAAAGTTAATGAAGATGTTGCATCCCAGATGACATCAATTGTGGCTGTAGATGTTCACAAAAGCAGCATTTTAAGACATATTCCATTTCTGACTAGTTATAAATTATTCTTTATCCTTAAACATAATACAAAGTGTAAAGGGGTGGTCTGAAGTTTCTTTATAATAGATCTCACCTACCGCAGTTAGCAGTGTTAGGGTCTCAAGGAAAATATTACAGGTGTAAAGAAATTTAAACTAACACTATGACAGTTTTCAACCAGACTTTATACTTTCATGTAGATGTCTCTGAGTTAGTACATAATTACATTGTGTTGTCCATCCAAGTGCTGACATTTCAGTGCCAGGGGTTTTGAAATCTGAAAATGTATGTCACTTATTTTAGTACTGGTAAAGTTTATTAAAAAAGAAACTTGGGTTAAGAGTGGGTGTATTCACTTACGTAATTTAAAATGAGCCCAGATTAACTTTATCATTTCTAATGATTATGAAACTGGTGCAGCCTGTAATGTGTAAAAATGGGGATAATAACACAGTGTCACTGTTCCTTTAACCTCCCCATATTTTTAGCAGTGTCTCAGCTCATGCTTATAAGTATTTTCTTTTCTGGATGATCGTGATGGCCGAAAGAAATTGTGTAGCATTTTGTTTGACTGTAGAGCATTTTTCTGATATTCAGTATTACAATTTAGTTTCAGAGCAACCACACGAAGGTTGTTTTCCATAATATCTCAGAATTTTATTTCAGAAACTTCTGACAAGATCATAGGCATTTATGTATCCATAAAAATTCCCTTCTAGTTTATTCAGTCAATTTAAAATTCTCTAAGGAAGGCTGTCTCTGCTTGCTGAAGTTGTAAGACTGTAAGGTCATATAAGTCGAAAAGTAGTTGTTGAAATTGGTCCAAACCATAGGGTGAGAACTAAATCTGAATAATAAAGTGTATCTAGGTAATACAAGTATTACATTCTTTCAGTACTCATATATGTAAGAAGAAAGATAAAGTGGAGTTTTGTGTGTGTGTGTACTCTAACAGAAGAGTCACACTCCCCCTTTCATGTCATATTGATCTGTGGTGCATAAATTTGCTTAGCTAAAGAACTGAATAGAAAATTTAATTTCTTAAGTATGAGAGAATATGTAATAAATTTCATATTCTCTCATACTTAAGAAATTAAACATATTAAGAAATGCTTCTCAGGCTAGAAATCGGGTTTCATTTTGCTTCCATCTTTTCCAACAATTTTAAAAATATTTGTCAGTCAGTAACAGTCATCTTAATAATAAAATTATTTCTGAAGAATTCTGCTCTCTGCTAGTGTTAGTATGATGCTAGATCTTGTTTCTTCATGTTTAATAATAACTATACAGCTCAAAAGATCAACATTGTTGAATCCCTGGTGATTGTTGTGGCATTTCATGAATATATTGACTTAAACTCTTCCTTGAAAGAGTGTTGTATGTACATGTTTTAGTGGAACCTAAAGGTACAATCTGGAACAGATTTAGAATTTCAGCAATGTACATGAAGCAGGCGAATTCATGGTGTTTCATTCATCTTGTATATTTGGTTCTGTCCATTGTCATATTCAAAATTTTATTGATAATGTTTCCACCCGTCTATACAAACCTTGCTTGAATATCTCCTAGGCCAAAAGCTATTTTGACCAGTTCATAAAGGAGGCTAGAAAACGTTAACCTACTTTCTTTTCTTCTTTCCTTTAGCACAGAGAATTGTACTACCATATAGAAGTTTGTGGAGTGTGGGTGTGTTGTGTACAGAGCACCTAATCATACTGAAGCTGAACTTCTGATAAATATTTGGTGCTGTTGTAATTTACATTTTTAATATTTTGTCTGTGTTTAAATGGTGATATTATTGTCGTCGTCGTTGTGGGGTGAGACTAAATCCCATAGTCCCTAGGGCACAGTTAGGGCCATCTTACTAGCCCTTTTTAATAGTTGTGTGAATGGATCATTGGTGGGATGAACATTGGAGAGAAAGTTTCCCCAGAACCACTTTGCCTACCACAAATCCCATGTGGACTCCTCTATAATTTAACCCAGGCCACTACTAGTGAGAAACCAGCTACTAACCACCTGATCTACGGCAGATGTTAAATGATGATTATACATCATGTTTGAGCCCACCTTCTGCTACCATGGTTCATTATGATTCAAGTAAAGTAACAGATGTGGAGAACACATATTCTGCTTCTGTATGTGATTGTCCTCCTTTTGTTATCTTAAAACAATAAAACATCTGGCTTCTGAGTTTTGATTTTGGGGGTTAGCTGATCAGTGGATTGAAGTGTTTGTGTATTTCATTACAGAATTACATAACCAAATTCTGCTTTTGATCAGAGTCTCATTACAAATTCCTTCCCAAGGGTGTATATCTTGCGCACACAACTGTGACTGCATTTGCCCAAAGTGCTAATTGAGTATTAGTGTGTCTGATGAGTAAAATTAACCACCGTATTTAGGCTTATGAACTGTATGTTACAGTAGTGAGTTGCAAAACTGAATTAAGCAGGAATAAATCAATAAAATGAAATCTTTGACCTTTTGGAGGAACTTGTGTTTCATGGTTTGTTTGATAGCTAATTCATATAATCATAGAGTACAGAGTAATATGATATAACATTTATTTTGTAGACGATTTTCTTACCATTTTGTGACATTACCCAAGTGATGCAGTTCTGCCATGCCAGCGGTGTAATGCTAGCAGAATAATAGAGCCTTTCAGTTATTAATAACATATAAACACTTGATCTAACTTGTCATGGAAAACAAAGTATTACAACATATGAAGTATGTAGGAACTTAGATAAATGGCTTATAATAGGTAATAAGATGAAAATGTGAAATTTATTACACATTATAATATAAAGAAACACACTTGTTTTACAGAATAGTAATGTGGTTTGGTTACAGAAACCTCTTAAAGGGATATGAACTTGGTGTATCGTAGGGCAGTGAATTAGTCCAAACGTTTCTGCAAAGAAGGGAAAGGCTGCAAACATACTACACACAGGAGTGATATCATTTAATAAACAAAATAAAAAATGGTCTACAAAAACTGATAACACTTCTCAACAGTTAAGGTTGTTTGTCATGCATATAGAAATCAAATTTGTAGCTTCTACGATCTTGCAGTCAGCTGCAACTGTGCATATGCCCATCCAGCATACTGGACACACCTGTACTACAGTTAATTATCCATTCTGAACTCTCCACACACACAAAACGTACATTGATTGGTTCCAAACAAATCTGTATTGTGTAAGGAATCATCATTATAGAGACCATCTTCATCAACTCACAGGATGTACTGGGCTGTAAAGTTGGAATGGGTTAAAATTCTGAGACGTACACCTTTTTGTGTGCGTGTGCATGTATGCTTGCGTGCTTCCTGGTTCTAGAGGATCAGGCTTTGGTTCTGTAGAGCAGAATGGGCCTGCCACACTTGCAATGTGTTTTTCCTCAACATCTGTTTTGGCGTCATGAATGATGCATGCTGGCTGTTATCTCAAGTCTGCATTTGGAGTAAAGTCTTCATTAAATTTATGGGGATTTGGAGTGTATATTTTAGCACCAGACAAGCCTGATACAGCTTTTTCAGTTGTTACTACCCTCTCTAATGCCATATTGAAAAATCTGCCAATTCATAGGGAGTTATTTTTGATGGTCATGGTTCTTCATAAAGGAGTCAAACTGTGTGATTATAGCGTATTTCAGAGGGCTGATGAAGGTGAGATTCAGCGGTTGCATATGGTGAGATGTGTGCGGTAGAAATGATACTATTACAATGAAATTTGCATTGGAAAATTTATTTATACTGATGGTTCTGTGGCTATTGTGGTTGTCTAAAATTAGCACCTTGAAAAATTAGAAGATATTCTGTGATATTTCAGTAAAAACAAACAAATGCAACACTACAGCCCACAATTAACTGCTCACCATTGAGTTGTGCTTTTGTCTCAAAATGTCAGTGTAGTCAAAGATGGGTGGCATGCTTTACCTCAGTTGGCGCCATTGCCCACACTTCCCCTACTGCGATTCAATAGAATCAGTGCTACATGTTGGAAAGGAACATATATTATGCTCCTTGAACTGCCCAAACAAACCTTGACACTTACTCATATGAAATAAGATGCAGATGAACGTAATGGTTATAGCTTACTCAGTATTCACTTTTAATTGGCATTTATAGTGGTATGTTAACAGTGTTTCCTGCCTGTATTGAAAATGATAGGTCTGTGGGATGTCAAATCCGGTAGCACGGAGAGACAACTATGTCAGTTTCGGTAACGAATATGTGGACGAGCTTATTACAACAACTAAACACACTCCCAATTTTCCAGTCTGTTGTGCCTTTGTTAGTCTTTTACTTAATAGTGCTTCGGACAATGGAATATTCTCCACTTCTTTACTGTCTTCTCATCTGTTTTTGGCCTCCAGTTGGTCCATGCTGTGTAACTTAGGCACTGACTGGAAATGAATCACTCACTTCTACAGTTTGGTTTGTGTTTCATACCAATTAGTTTCCATGGGAACCTGAGTACTGAGCCATTGTGTAGCAGCGGATGGTTCGTAGACTGCGATTGACAACTGGGGTGTCAGAGGTTTGCATCTTTTCACGATGTCGCCAACGGCGCTTGAATCAGTGGCCGCTGGAGCTGCCTTGGAGCATGTAGTTTGTGCAACGGGAGCAGCGGCGCACCAGGTGGTGGTATGGCCGGGGTTGCATCGACCATGGGCTTGAAGGTGATGGTGGTGGTCCCACGGTCAGTCTCATTCATCTTGTAGGCCGGCTTCACCCTGTCTGTTAACATGGTGACATGCCTGTGACACACGAGGAGTTGCAGTGCCTTCCCTCTCCTTAACAGGATGTGGGAGGGGCCACTGTAGGGGGGCTCCAAAGCCCGATACGTTGGATCCTGACAGTGGAAGATGTACATGCACTTCTCAAGGTCACTGTGCGAAGGTATGGCGTGCAACCGGAACTGTCCTGGGGCAATCGATGTGTTGGTGGAACTCGGTGATGAGGTGCGTTGGAGCCAGTAGCTCGCTGGGAATTCGTAGGGGCTCTCCCTATACAGGTTCAGCTACTGATGGCTGCAGGTCCTTTTCAAATGCCATGCGGATTCCAAGGATAACCAGAGGAAGCAGCTCTGTCCAGTGTTGGTCCTCATGGTGCCTGATGGCTGCCTTAAGCGTTCGGTGGAAGCGTTCCACAAGTCCGTTAGCAGCGGGTTGATGGGCACTTGTCCATCAGAGCTAAATCATTGATTATGACTAATTGTTGAACAAGATAATACTAAAAAAAGTATGAAGGCATTTGTCTTGTTGCATAATGTATAACATTAATTATTTGCTGCAGAGTATTTAAAATGGACATTAATTTTGTCATTTTATTAGCTTTCATATCTAAAATGATAGATCATGTAACATTGTCAGTATATGCAGATGTGTTATTTTTTTAATGCTGACCACCATAGAACTTCATTTTTGTTCAGTAATGCAATTTGAAAAAGTTGCAAATATCATGGTTGTAACTTTTTTCTTTTTCTCTCGGCAGTGGTTGAATGCCTTAAAGCAGACTTGAATCTTTTCTGCTGAACTTGTCCTTATTCAACATATTCATATCAGCTGTCTTTTATTAATCGTTATGATCCACAAATAAGTACAGTAGCCATAGTATTATTTTTCATATGCATAATTTAAATTAAATATATGTGATGTACTTATATTACAGTCTCTCAATTAACTGTTCAGTCAGTCCTTTTATTACTTATTTTTTAATGGACCAGTGCTACAGAAATATGACACAGACTCTTTTCTTTTGTCTTCCCACCCTCCTATTTATAACAGTATAACAATTAACATTGGACATGAAGGTCAAATGATGGGCCTCATATGTCTTGTGTTGTTCTAGTCAGCCCTCCCACTGCATATCTAAAGGTATGTTCCATGCTTTCCATGGCATAACTCTGGCAGCATGAAGTTACTTATCAATCTTTGCCAAACCATGTAACAGTATGTGACATAGCATCACAGTCAAGTAGTTAGAAACTCTTGCTTTGTATTTGAGAGGTCCTTGGTTCAAATCTTAGCTTGGAGACTGGCTATTCTGGCAAATTTGTTATGATTTTCCTTTGTCCCTCCAGGAGAATACCAGGATAATATCTTCAATTAGGACATAACTACTTACTTCCTCATCCTTCCCAGTTCATTATTCATGAAGTCATCTAATTATACAAGCTGGGCAATTGAAAACATAAGTCAAGAATAAATGCATATTAGTAAAAGTAAAAAAGTAAAGCTATCCCTGTAACAGGCCATGAAGGCCCATAGGGATGTGAGACATTAAGGGTCCCACACTATCTAGACAATCGGCTCAAAGATGGCGGTAAGGTTGTCAGCCTCACGCGCCGGCCGCGCTCTACTCCCCAGGAAAATTATTTATTTAATTCCTGGTACTCATTTCTGTTAGAGGCTGAGTGAATCCCAGGGCCATAGTGCTGCCAGAAGGATTAGGTCAATTGAAAAAAATTCATTGACCTCATCGGTATTTGAACCCATGACCTTCCGACTTGTAGCAAAGTGCCTTAACCACTACGCTACCGCATGTCCCCAAATGCATATTAGTATATACCATAACTATTGTAGAGTGTTTTCTTGTTTCATTAGTGACACTTGTGTGAAATGTGTGAAAGATGTTATTTGTTTGTTATAAATTTAAATTACTTGAAGTTTTGAAAACATGACTTAATAATTTACAGTCTGTATATTTTTGCATGTGACTTCTCTCCAGGTCTGCTTTATTTTTATGTTGGATTCATCATCATCAGTAATCTGTCAGATGACAGGTCCACAGTCTCTGCCAAAACAATTCCTCCACTTAATGCGATCTAGAGCTTTCTCCTTCAAATGACAGTATCCTCTTCTGTCCCCACGGTCATCCAGCATCTTCTTACGTCTTCTTCCTCATCTTCTTGTCACTTCTATCCGCCCCTCTATCTTTCCTTCAATAACTTCTTTTAGAAGGCAGTTTCTGCATAAAACATGACCAATCCAATTAGCCTTTCGTTTTCTTATTTCGTGTAGGATATTCCTCTTCTCACCGACTCTAATTAACACTTCTTCATTTCTCACATAATCGGTCCAACTGACCTTCTCCATCCTTCTCCAACACCACATTTTGAAACTTTCCAGATGTTTCTGATCTATTGCCCTGAGTATCCATGTTTCAGCCCCATACAGAGCTATGCTCCAAATGTAGCATTTCACTAGTTTCTTCCTCAAATTTAAGTCCAATNATCACCTTCCAATTTCAATTAGTCTATCAATCATGCCCTGTAGCACAGTTTCTTCCTTAGCCATTAACACAAGGTCATCTGCATATTTCACAGTTTGAATAATTTGCCCTCCTAATTTGAAGTCTCTGTGCCCATCCAGAGCTTCCTTTGTAAGGCATTCGCTGTACAAGTTGAACAGAATTGGTGATAAACAGCATCCTTGTCGAACTCCTCTTCCAATCTGCACACTTCTTGTCTCCCCTCTGTCCTGTCGTACTCTAACTTTCTGATCCATGTACAATTTGCTAATCAATCTTCTTTCACGCCAATTGATACCTGTTTCCTTTAGGATCTGCATTAATTTGGTCCAGTTTACACGGTCAAATGCCTTCTGCCAGTCTATGAAGCAAACACACAGTTCTTCATCTATCTCCAAAGTTCGTTCTGCTATAATTCTCATCATCCCAATTGCATCCCTGGTTCCTTTTCATCTTCTAAATCCAAACTGATCTTCTCCAAGTATATCCTCTATTTTCCTTTCAATTCTTCTTTAAGTATCTTTGCTGTATGTGCAATAAGGCTTAGTGTGCGATGGTCACTGCATTTTGTAGTTTTTATCTTTTTCTTTAAGGCAATCATTGTCACTTCTGTAAAGTCCTTGGGCCACTCTCCAATTTCATATATGGTTTCATTAGTTTTGTCATTGGATTCATATTCTAATATAAATGGTTTATTATACTCATATTACTATGACGTCACCATTTCTTAGTTTAAATATTATACACTACATTTTCCAGTTTAAATACAGGTCACCTTTAGGTGGATCATAAACAATTCGCTGATCATAAGCTGGGTCCTCATTATTTCATATTATGTGTGGGGGAGCTGAGATATAGCTCTGCACATTCTTAATGTTGTCACTTAATGCCCCTGCTGCTTTCACTCCACAGAAGGAGCCCTCACTTTTTTGTTAATAGGAGACCAGATGGTCCCGAAAGTCAATCTGCATCTGGTGGTAAGAATAAAAAGTGTCTGCTCTTGCCAGGAATTGAAACCTATCACCCATCCCATATCCTAGTCACTATACTGATTGAGCTATCCCAGCTCCTTACTTGACTATATATAAAATACAAAGAATCTGTTATGTACTAAGTGATCTCACCTATACTATATTAAAATTTTAATTTTGAATTATGATAGGAGATCTTGTGCTTTAAAATTATTCTTTATGTGAATAATATATGTCACTGGCCTGCCTATAATGTACTGTTGTTTGAAAGTATGCTTCATACATTTTGAAATTTAAAGCACGTCTCTTCCTTCATGACTATCTTATATTCTATTGAAATATTCTGAACCCTGTTTAACAGAACTAGTACCTCCGGCTATCCTGTCATCTGCATTAAGATCATATTACTGAACAGTGCAGTTGAATGATTAGAATTCATCATATTTGAGAGGTCTCAGGTTCGATTCATGGCATAGAGACTGGCTATTCTGGCTGAGGTGTTCGTGATTTTCCTTAGTCTTTTTGTAGAACCTTATAGGTACATTCTTCCACATTCTTCCCAGTTCCATATTCACAATGATCATCCCAGTCAGCTCATTGTAACCTTTGCAGCAGCAGCAGCAGCAGCAGCAGCAGTAGCAGTGCAGATCTAAGAATTAAATGTATTTTTCTCATGGGTTCATATATAAGTGTAGAATATATTGTTCATATAACTGTTTCCTTTTATGCACTGAAAGTTGTGTTCTAATTTTTGGAGAATGGATTATGATTTTTGGTTTTCATTGGTTTTGGTGGTTCACTATAGAAGTGAAACACTTCTCATGTATTAAAATATAATTCATTGCTGCTAGGCGTAACTGACGATTAACCTTAGTTAAAATTCTGAAACTACATCTGTTCCAGATTACATTTGTGCAATATATGTTATATTATAACAACAAAATGTTTCATGCATCGATATTGAAGAGACTGTTGTTGAATATTTGCGAAGATGAAGAGGCAGTAGATGTGTATGTGAAATGAATTCATAACTCTTTGATACCGAATGGTGATTTTTTATATCAGAGATACATTGTATTTTAGAATGATATTGTGGGGTGATATATAATTTGTAGGGTTTGGTTTTTACACAACTGTACTGAAAACTATTTTATGAGAAAGGTTGGTGGCTTTGATGTACTGTACCATGTGTGTAGATGCTTCCATTTGAAAGATTTGACTTGCCAGTCAGCATGGTGTAAACTCTCAACACTGGGTCAGCAGATATTTATTCAGTTGCTCTTCCAACATGGAACATTTTGACGTAGGTTTCCACATAAGTAGCATTTGCATTGCTGTTTGTTAATTTTGTGTCCAGTTCCAATTTAAATGTATTTCAACATCAGTGTCTCCTCTTTTGTTGAATAATGGAAATTCACAGAAAGTTATAGCTCTAATATTTATACCATATATTTGGTGTCTGTAAGTGGACTTTTTCATAGTAGATTCTGATTCTGTTTATATCCTGAATTGTACTATATGTGATCAGTGTATTGTCTGTTCTGATTGAATTAGAGTTACATTAATGATACATACAAGTTGCTCACGTCTATCTTGTCTGTTATTTTTGTGTTTGAACATCAAAAATCAAACAAGCTTTTATTATATTACTGTAGGAAGCATAAATTAATACAATATTATTGTCTTCTGTAAATTGAAATCCATTAGAATAAATTAATACAGTATTGTTGTCTCCTGTAAAATCAGATCCATTATAATTTGTAAAATTGTACTAGGAAGGATACCTCTACATTTACATTTGTCTGCAATTTTCTGACTGCCAAAATTAATTATATACACAGCTCCTTTATTAATGCTATTAATGCTGAGACTATTAGTACCATGTTTTAAAGAATGTGTCCATCAGTGGCTTCCACTTGTTTTTAAGATGAAAGATGTATTGTGCTAATTAAAATGGTGATTTAATATTCAATATAATCTGTTCATGAACCATCTCATCCAGAAAATTATCTTTGCAGAAATGTTTTGTAGTTTCCATCATTCTTCCCAGGTGAATGCAATATTTGTAATGTATTAAAACTGATCAAGACTATTTGCTACAACACACCACTCAGTTCACTGTCCATAATACCCTGTCATTTTTTATTTAGCATTTTACAACCTTTGTAGCTGGTACATCATTGTTTAAATTAAATGAAAAGCATTGTGCAACTGTTCTGTCGTTTTTATGGTTGCTACTGTGATGGATTAAATAATACAAGTTTATGTTTTACTGGTCAAGGAAATTTTAACAGTTCTTTGATTCACTGTTAATATAACATTTATTTTTTTTTAAATTGATTTCTTTTATTTCTTTATTTCATTCCATAGAGGGAGTGTTAATTGTTCCCTTTATTTCTGAGTTATGAAATTAGTAATGCTTGAATTCCAGATAGTTGATAGTATGTGTACAATTAACCATATCAGTATTAAATGTTAATGGACTTACCATTTAATACTTCCAAGTTCATATATGAAACTATTTATGAAAAAATTATGTTTCAACACATTGTCCTAGACCAATGATTCTCCATTGTGGAACCCCACTTCTTAAAGTGTTATACATAATTCCTCTAATTGTGGATTTTAGTACGAGTAATGAATGTATAATTTTCTGTTAATATTAAATTACTGATCCCCAAACTGATTCTGTCCCCAGTTTAATCTCTGAAGTTGTTGCCCCAGAGCATGGAAAAGTACTATTTTAATATTTGATCTGAGATTCTCATCTCAGCCTTGCAGTTTGGAGAGAGGCCACTGTTTTGAAAGAACATATCATCATATTCAGGAATGAAGAGTAAGCCAATCAAGACCAGCAGAACAAGCCCCCTGCATCTTCTGGTTTCTTGCTTATTTTATTCTTTTACTCTGAAGATGAAAGTGATACGTTGTATCCGAAACATTGGGCTGTCTGCGAACTACATGGCATTATAAACCATAAGATACCTTCACAATATTAGTTATTATGCTTATTAATTTTATTACTCTTTCAAAAAGTATGGTATGTTCTT